CACACACACTCTCACTCTCTCTCACACACACACACTCTCGCTCACACGCACACGCTCTCTCACACACACACATGCTCTCACACAGACACACACGCTCACTCACTCTCACACACACTCTCTCTCGCACAGACACACACTCACTCTCACACACACACACTCTCGCTCACACACACACACTCTCGCTCACACAGACACACACTCGCTCACACACACACACTCTCTCACAGACTTTCTCACACACACTCTCACTCTCTCTCACACACACACACTCTCGCTCACACACACACTCTCTCGCTCACTCTCACACTCACACACACACTCTTGCTCACATAGACACACACACTCTCACTCACACACAGACACACACTCACTCACAGACACACACACTCTCACTCACACATAGACACACACTCACTCACAGACACACTCACTCACACAGGCACACACACAAAGAGACACACACACACAGGCATACACACACACAGGCATACACACACAGAGACACACACACACACAGATCCTTCGAGCCTGTTTCTGAGTTGTGTCTATTTATAGATGGTACATATTCCTCAGCCTGCTAGGATCCTGTCCAACATTGTGCAAATAAACACTCGAGTCTCCCTCAGCCAAGCCTTCAGAATCCGGCTCTTAACTTCTTCTGCTCTGGGCTCAGTTTGCGGGACAATCTGGTCCTGCTAAAACCGAGCACTAATCTCTTCCAGCACTCAGCAATTCTCGTGAGATAGTGCTCACTCCCTCAGCGCTGACCCTCCGACAGTGCGGCGCTCCCTCAGCGCTGACCATCCGACAGTGCGGCGCTCCCTCAGCACTGACCCTCCAACAGTGCCCCCTCCCTCAGCACTGACCCTCCGACAGCACCCACTCCCTCAGCACTGACCCTCCGACAGTGCGGCGCTCCCTCAGCACTGACCCTCTGACAGCGCCCACTCCCTCAGCACTGACCTTCCGACAGCACCGGCTCCCTCAGTGCTGACCCTCCAACAGTGCCCGCTCCCTCAGCGCTGACCCTCCGACAGCGTCTGCTCCCTCAGCACTGACCCTCTGACAGCGCCCGCTCCCTCAGCGCTGACCCTCCGACGTGCCCGCTCTCTCGGCGCCGACCCTCCGACAGCGCCCGCTCCCTCAGCACTGACCCTCTGCCTGTGTCTGCTCCAATTCCCTCTCTCTCTCTGAACAGCCAGCTCAATTAGATCTTCGAACACTTTGCCAACATCACTGAAGGTAATTTGAGCCAGAGAACAGGGAGTCGGGGTGAGTGCACTGCTCAGAAGCTACAGGAATGTCTGCTCAACACATTTCTTCAAAAGGATTTTTCAACGTGAGAAAGTTCAGAATTTGCCTCTGGTGTTGCTACTCTGAATGTTGAAAGCCTGGACTCCCACTGACTCCTAAATAGCCCTTCGGAACGCCATAACAAGTTGACACTCGCAATCTTACGCACCGTTCTGAAACATTTTTCCAAATTCCAGACATATTCCTGTTTGGCTCTCCAGCAATTTCCTCACTTTCCTGATCGCTGTGATATCATTTTACAGGCGACAGAAATTTCTGTTTGATACACTAAAG